AGCGAGCGGAACGAGATTTTCGGGTCGCGAGGCGGCCCAGCTAGCGATAAAATCGCGATGAGTCTTCGAACCGCGAGCCAAATTTTTATATAAGACGAAAGACTTCTTCGAAAGTCTAAAATATTTCTTGAGAATATAAACAACAAATCTCTGTCGGCGGTGCGCTCCGGAAGGAAATCTTGTCGAGTCAATTTGACAGTTCTATTGTCTTTTGAAGAAAAAACAGATGACGCTCGCGCGTGCACATAATCGGGACACTGTCCCTTTAATTTGTTCTAGCCAGTGCGTGGCTTACGCGGTTCCTTTAAGTCTTTATCATTCTAGTCTGCGGGTGGTTTGCACATGACCAGTTGGCAGTTTACGCAGATGCTTTTAGTTAGTGTTCACGCATCATGTTATCATGTTTTTGCCCCCGCAGGGATTTCGCCCAGAAGGCGAAATCCCGAGGAGGCACTCTAGTAACTCGCGCGTGTAATAAGGAAATTACTTACAGTTGAAATATACAGTCATACAGTCAATATAGAAAAAATCTCGATTTGCTTAAACAGGGGCCGCGAGGAATCGGTAGGTAATGATGACGTTTCTATTGTTTGCGTTCGCAAGTACGAAATGGGTAGGATGACGTAAAGACAGAACATCCCCAAGGGACCGCTTAGGTAGATTTCGTGACATTTATTGTGCAGTCATACTTCGACACTCTTTTGCGTTACGTGTTATCAGTGACATTCTGTGGAGCAGTTGTTTCAGTAAAAGTTATGGACCAAAATTTTAACAACACTCGTCAAGCGCAGAAGAAGTTATAAGGTGCGTTTGGAGAGTTTGCCAGACACGAGTTCACAAATCTTTCATTGGAAACCTTGCCAGACACTCTTTCTCTCTCTTTGATCGGAATAAGACTCAGCCCTAAACAAGCAAGACGAGTGAACAACGGCTACCTTCTCACTAGCAGGACGATGGACGATTACAGAAATGCGCGGACAATCAAATTCTGTGCTGACTTATTCCCTGCTCAGAGATGTCCTTCCCCTGTAAAGTTTAAAATAAGACTAGAATGCGCGAGTGTGAATTGATCAAACGTCCTTTTAATTTCTAATGCTTCCTTTCCGGCAAATAAAATGAACTGAATGTAAAAAGTGAAAGAGAAATACCAAAAAATTCAACTTCTAATTAAATCTTTTCTTATGGTTTAGCATAAACTATTCTCGAAACTGAGAATGTTTTTATCGAAGCTGTGTAAATCGACCTGAAACTGTGCATGGAACTTTGCGTTTCCTGTATTTATCTCACCTATTGTATGGAATATAAATGGAAATCTTCCTTATGAATCAGTATATTTCAAAGAGCTACACAACGAGCCAGAATGCTATTGACCGACAATATACAGAGCGGGGGCAGCTGTAGTGTCAACTATCACTAGTTTATTTGTTCTTTTGGGCAGCGCTTAGCTTGAAGCGAGCTGCACCCCAGAGTTGTGTGTGTTTGGTGATGGGTCAAACTGGGATTTAAAGGAGAGTAGTATTTTCCTTCGTTTGACTTTGTAATTAATTCGTATGTTGGTCTAGCCATGTGTGCTGTTATGAGGAAAATTGGCGGGGGTATATATTAGGTCTTTCAACACGGTCTTGCTGTCTCAGCGTTCGGGCTATTTGTTTAGTTATTTCTTTATTTTAGTGGGTTTTTTACATCTTATAATGTATGTGCGTTCTTTCTTCTTTTACTTTGCACATGTTCTCAGCTCTACTGTGTGGTCGAATCTTCGGGCTGCTGTTCCCTAGGTATCTGGGGTTTTATTTCCCCTTGCAAGTTCTCTACCGGATGATGCTTTGGCTGCCAGAGCACCCAGTACTTCCTCCAAGTATTTCTCTACTTACAACAGCTTGAAGTCTTGGGCCTGAGATAATAGCTTGGTAGCTTTTCCTGCACCTCCGTTTCACCTTGCTATTTAATTAAGTCATGTGATAACTGAGGCGAAGGCAGCGTTCCCCCTGGAATGAGAAGTTTATAGCATTTCCTGGATTCACTGCTTGGGACATCTGTCGGGGAAGTGTATTCTTATCGATGCGCAGCGTTTATTGGCCTATCACACATCCAAGTAGGAGTGCATCACAGTCTCCCAGTTAGGACAGTTAATTGCCTCTTTGTATAATATTCGTTCTGTTGTTATATGCTTGCTAGCCTTTGCTACCTTTCTTAGATTGATGAGCTTGCTAATCTTATTCATTCCGATGTTAAAATCGAAATTGACATGTTAAAGTTATCTGATTAGGTAAAACTGATCTATAAAGGAATGGAGCTTGGATTGTTATAGCTTCATCCGGGAAAGCAACTTATCCTGTTGCTATGATGAGCAGATATTTAGAAAGGGCTAGGTTTGCCTGATATTTTCGCTATTGGTACGCATAGTCTAAGGAGAGGCGGGGCTATTGCTGCCGCAAATGCTTGTGTTCCAGATTGCCTTTTTAAGCGGCATGACTGCTGGTCTAGTGAATCTGCTAAGGATGGTTACGTTAAAGATTCTTTATCCTCGCGTTCGTCTGTTTCTTACGCCTTAGGTATTTAGTTTTCTCGTACGCATCTTTTTTTCATTTTTCCTAGAATCTCTTTAGTTGGTCTTGCCAGGGAGACCGTTGAATATGGAGTACAGCTGGTCTAGGATTTTCCTCCTAGGAGCAAGTGGACATACAGGAAGGATGTTTGTTACACGGATTATTTTGTTAGTTTGTTTAATATTCTTGTATGATTATGTTCTGTATGTTCTCTCAACGTACACCGTCAGATACTAACGGTGAAAATATCAGTGTTCCAACAGCCGAAGAGGGTATCCACAGCCTTCAATTCTTAAGCGAAGAGTACGACGACCTTCATTCCTTTTGAGAATCAACTAAAGATGATCTTAAACGCCTGAGTGCCCGACTACCTCAAGTGGAAATTAAAGTACACGCAATCAGCAACGCAATTAGAGGAGATTTAAGATTACAGCTATCAATTCAATGTTAAATTAATTGGAGTCCCGGAGACAAGTGCGAATGAATCCTCAAGGTCGACGAGTTCTCTTTGCGTTTAACTTTTCAACGAGATGGGAGCCGAGGTAACAATACAAAATATTGACACTGCCCACCGAGTGCCCAGCCGAAGCGACCGTGGTTCTGTTTTGCAAATTTGTGAGGCGTCTCGCAAAGGAACGTGTTATGGAATGTTGAAAAGATGCAGGCAGCATAAACCCTTCTGCTCTTGGTCTTCCTGATCAAGCTTCTCTTCCTGAGATCAGAATCTTTGATCATTTAACGCCAAAGATGCAATCGATCCCGTATGAAGCGAAGAAAATTTAAAAACAACATCATTACCAGTATTGTTGGGCCAAGAACTCTGTGGTCTACTTGAGAAAGGATGCCACAGCTAGACCGATCAAGATCAAAGGCATGGACGACCTACAATGACTGGCTGACTTTTCCTAGAAGTGGTGTAAGAATTTGGAACAAAATTCCTCTTACGTTACGTGAACAGCGCAAAGACCCTTTCAAGCGTAAATTACATAAATTACTGATCAAGATTTTGCAGACTAAGAAGGTGTATGTTGATATGAGTACCATTACCAGTTCCTACCTGAACTCCTTATTCAGTTAAAGTGTTTTCCTTCCTTATAACTATAGGTGCAACCTTTTATTTAAACTGTTGTTGTTGCTGTTGTTGAAGCGAGCCGCACCCCAGGGTTGTGTGTGTTTTGTGTTGGGTTACGCTGAGATTTAGAGGAGAGCTGCGGGTTCCCCTTTCCCCCCTACCATAACAACTATTCACCTCTGGGTCAGCGGTTGGGTTAGGTTATTAGCTTACTGAAGTTATAAATATCCGAGTTGAATGTGTATGGTGCAGCACTATTTTCCCTCAGTTAATTTTCATCACATTGTGGCTCTTGAGGATTCAGGAAAATTTCCAATTCGAGTCCAAA